CCAGCCAATGTTGAATGTAGGAAAATGAGTAGTTTGAATTCCCATTTCCTCAACAAAAGGCTCTTGTGAAAAAAATGCAGAGATTTGGGAAAACCCAGTCACCAAAGAATGGAGATACACCATGGATGCAGAGACTTTCTCATGAACATAATACAAAAACAGAACACCTATGGAGGTGGGAATGTTGCATTCCAGAAACCGAATAATTAAAAGTTCTGTTCCATAGAAGACAGTATACTTGAAAAGAGTAAACCCTTTCTAAGATAGTTTAATTGTTCTAGTCTCACTACAAGACTTAGAGCTTCCCAGCATTACAATTAGGGTCTGCACTCAGCTGAGATACTAAATTTAAATGTGCATGACAGTGGACTAGAATATCGGCCCAGGTTTTTCCATTCTTATCAGATGTCCCTTGTCATTTAACTCAGGCCTCATTAAAATGATGAAGCATTTGGGAGAAAAAATGGAAAGCAATAGGCCAGCACTGGAGGTTAAGATGGAGAAGATCTCCACTGCCACCAGGTATTTTCCTTTGATGCTCAGGTAGGTTGGGATGAAGGAGAACCACACACTGCAGAAGATGAACATGCTGAACGTAATGAATTTGGCTTCATTGAAAGTGTCCGGCAACATCCTGGCTAGGAAAGCCACAGTAAAGCTGGCAATAGCCAGCAAGCCCATGTAGCCCAAGACACAGTAAAACATCACACCTGAGCCCTCATTGCATTCCAGGATGATTTGGTCCCTTGCTGAGTGCCGATTCATATCTGGGAAAGGAGGAGACGTACTTAGCCAAAGTACGCAAATGACTACCTGTACAGAAGAGCCACAGAGGACAAGAGAAATTGCTATTCTTTTCCCAACACATTTCCTTATTCTGGATCCGGGTTTGGTGGCCATGAATGCCATGACCACAGTTGTAGTTTTTGCCAAGAGAGAGGAAAGGGCCACCGAGAAGATGGTGCCAAAGGCAGTTTGTCGGATGAGGCAGGCAACCTTTTCAGGCTTTCCAATGAAGAGCAAGGAGGAGAGGAAGCAAAGCAGGAGGGAGATGAGGAGGATGTAGGTAAGGCCCCGGTTGTTGGCTTTGACAATGGGCGTGTCCTTGTGGTTCAGAAATATCCCCAGGACTGAAGTTGTAATCAAAGCGAAAGAAATAGCCACTATAGTGAAGATGAATCCTAAAGGTTCTTTGTAGGAAAGGTAGCTAACAGCACGGGGGAGGCATTGGTTTTGGTTCTTGTTGGGATGTTGTTCTTCTGGGCATTCCATGCAAGCATCCATATCTGAAAGGAGAAGATGAAGGTGAAGAGGAGGATGAATGGTTGTTGTTCTAATATTGCAAGCGTTCCAACAGAGTGTTGGCATAGGTATCCATTAGCCTGAAATTTCTTATTGCTGAAGAACCACCTAATCGAATATCTTCTCAAGCATTCACTTCCTCTCCTTGGTAAAGTAGCGCTGACTAACAAACAGTATTGGAAGTCAAGCTAAACTGAAACCAAATTCATTAGCACAAAGTGCAATAATTCTTTTCAATCATAGGGACATGCCTACAATTGATATCCAGAATTACATACAAATCCAAATGAATTTTAGATTGTAATGGGTCGGTGTGAAGGCTGATTGCAGCAGTGATCCCAGAAGCACAGGATTCAGATCTCATCTTGTGAAATGTTGCGTTGGTGATCTTTCCATGTCATTTAATGGCCTGATTAATGGGGAGAGAGGAATATTTGCATTAGGACTATTGCAGTAGTGAAGAAAGCAGCAGAAACCAGACACCTCAGCTGGGTCGTGGTCTGGCTTCCTCCTGCCTCTGCAGCGCTCTTTGCTGAGCAGATAACATCATTTCTGCATAGCTAAAATTTAAATATTGCATATTTTGTGTATATGAAATTCTGGGAGATTTAACCCACCAACCTTCAATTAGGACTTCCATCACATCCACAGGTACTTTTGAAATACAGTGGTGGCAGTTGAGGCCTGCAATTTCATGTTCTGCAAATTAGATTCAATTTAGAAGGAGCTGTCCTGTGCTCAAGAATCTCATTAAACAGGTGAAAGAAGTGGCTTTTGCTTTGCTCCCTTCTATGCACTTACACCAAACTCCAACATTCCAGAAACAAGATCTATGTGTGCTTTTCAGCATTATCTTTGTTGGGTTATAAGTGTTTTTTGCCCTGCAATTTCATGTACTCCAAATTAGATTTATTTTAGAAGTGGTTGGTCTGTGCTTAAGAATTTCATCAATGATAACATCAGCTCCACATTGCTATAATTTAAGTATAGTGAAGTAAAATATGTGTTACTTATATGTATGTATCATCCTGGGAAAGGTCTGCAATTTCATATACTACAAATTAGATTCAATTTGGAAGGGGTTTTCCTGTGCTTAAGAATCTCAGTGCTCCTTCTCTCATTGCTCCCTTCCCTTCACCTACAGCAAGCTCAGAGATTCCAGAAACAAGATCTATGTGCGTTGTTCAGCATATGCACTATTGGGATTGATGTATTTTTTGCTCTTGTTACACTTCGTTGTCCTTACACTTGCCAGTGTGCATTCTTCTGGCTTTACAACCATTTTGAACTAAGGGTTTTTTCTCTCTCCATGATCTTAAATGTTTTGCTTGCAGAAGAATGGACAGAAAGAGAAATAGAATTCAGGTCAGGCTGGATTCTATCTCTATCTTCTTCTGCATCTTCTCTATCTTCATTGAATCTTCTCTCTCTCTCTCTCCCCCCCCCTCTCACACACACACACCTATGTATCAGTTCCTAAGGCCTCTCAGCAAACCTACTGTACATGATGCCTCCTACCCTTCCTGTTGGACATCATCCCTTCAGGGCATGGAGCACAGTCGTAGCAGCAAAATTTCTCTCCTTCCCTCTTTTTTCTGCTGTGGCCAGGATAGCAGTTGTCATTGCACACAGAAAGGGGCAGCACCTGCACAAAAACACAAGATGCTGGACAAAGGAAACACTCTAGACATAATCTACCTAGACTTTAGCAAAGCTTTTGACATAGTGTCACATGACAATTTAGTAAAAACTGGACTGCACGGAGAAACTATTAGGTGGATCAAAAATTGGCTGCTAAATTGGACACAACACTGCTTATCAATGGCACCTTCTCAGATTGGATGTAGGTAACTAGTGGGGTGCCACAGGGTTCATTCCTGGGCTCAGTGCTCTTCAACATCTTTATTAATTATTTAGATGAGGAAGTACATGGAAAGATAATCAAATTCACATATGATACAAAACTGGGCGGAATAGCAAACACCCTAGAAGACAGAATGAATATTCAGGGCCATACCTGAACACTGAGCTCACAGCAACAGAATGAGATTCAGTAAGGACAAGTGCCAAGTTCTCCACCTAGGAAAAAGAAACCAGCTGCATCGATACAAGATGGGGAATACTTGGCTCAAAGATCTTGGAGTAATTGTGTACAATAGGCTGAACATGAGCCAACAATGTGATGCAGCTGCCAAAAGGGCAAATGCTATTTTGGGATGCATTAACAGAAGTATTACTTCCAAATCACAATGAGTAGTAGTTCCTCTATACACCTCACTAGTTGTACCTCACCTGGAATAGTGTATCCAGTTCTGTGCAGCAATATTGAAGAAAGATTCAGGAAAATTTGAAAGGGTCCAGAGGTGGCAACAAAAATGATCCAGGGTTTGGAAACATTGCCCTATGAGGAAAGACTGAGAGAACTGGGCATGTTCAGCCTTTAGAAGAAAAGACTGAGGGGGGACATGATATCCCTTTGTACGTGTAAGTACCTTAATGTTTGTCACAAAGAGGAAGGTCAAGATCTCTTCTTGCCAATGCCTGAGTGTAGGACATGATATAATCAGTTCAAGTTGTGACAACCCAGATTCAGGCTGGACATCAGGAAAAGCTTCCTCAGTGTCAGAGTAATACGACAGTGGAACCAGCTGCCTAGAGAGGTGGTGGGCTCTCCCACAGTAGAGACATTAAAAAAAATGGACAGCCATCTGAGTGAATGATGTAACGTAGTGTTCTGCAAAAGCAGGGGGTTTGACCCAATGGCCTTCATGGCCCCTTCCAACTCTACTATTCTATGATTCTATGATTCTTTGCACATGGCCATTAAGAAATTGTGAGCCAAGAATGCCTATAAAATGTAAAGTCAGGCATCATGTTGTCATTTATTGAAGGTCATAGGACTATTTAATGAAGCAATTAAATTGCTGGTAGCATTCAGTTGAGAATACAGTCCCTCACAACCTGGACCATCCACCATGCAAACATCACCTCTAAAATTAATGCTTGTACACATGTGCTCATAAATATTCTCGAATTATGATATGGACTTGAAATGTTTGCTCTTTCCTTAAGTAATACACCAAGACTGAAATCTCACACCCAATAACTGGGGAGAATGCCCCATAAGACTCATTATGCAGTTACATAAGAACTAGAACTATGTAACTGCAGTGCAAATGAAAAGAAAACCCTTTGTAATCCATGGCACTTTAAATGCATTTAGTATAGATGTCCAAGAAACAATAAAGTATTACCTGTAAACTCATGAAATGCTTAAAAGGTTTCTTTCTCATTTATCCATCCATTCCATGTCCAAGAAGGGATGGTCCGCACTTCTTGCTTCGCTATGACATAGTTGCTAGCTTCTAAGAAACCCTTTTTGCCCTTAGGCCACAAATATATAGCTATTTGTCAAGGAATAAGCCCCACTGCAATCAGAGGTGTGTTTATATGAGTAGATATATATAGAAGTGCACGATTACTCTACAGTTCCCCATCACCACTGGCCATCAGAAAGCATATTGTCAAGTTGGAGAGGAAGGAGTAGATCCTTGTGGAAACAGGAGAAAGACAGAGTCCATCTCATGTGCTGGTTTCAGAACAGAAGCGGGGGCTGCCCCAAAAAATTTAATCTGCCAGGCAATCAGGGAGGTGTCTATAGTAGAAGTGAGATGAGGTTTTAGCAGATTTGCAGCTGGAATACACTCAGATGCCTTCAGAGAAGTAGATATGGATCATAAAGTCACAGGCATATCTGACAACAATTGTTAGCTTTGCTCCATTTCACATCACCACCAAAATGGAAAGTTTCTTGGTGGCTGTAAAGGAACAGCTCTGTCTTTTGCTTATGTATTAGTTTGCTTTTCAGCTACTATGGGGTATGCCTACCTCTGCATTTGGAAGCCTCAGATTCTTAAAAACAGAAAAAGAAAAATACAAGTTGATGTGGGGCTGGTGAAAATGACTTATCACACAATATATTGGGTATTCATTCCCCAGGGATTTATTTCCTAGAGTACCAGTGATGCTTATGTGAAGATCACAAATTACCCCTCAACCATTTGTTCCCTTCAATTGGGAAAGGAAAAAGAGGTTTGTTCTGTTCTGTTTCCTTACAATTGCAGAAGATGACCCAGAGACCTGGACAAAATGAAACATTTTTTAATCCAACCTTGCATTAGAGTACCGTAACTCCACCTGACCTGGTTAAAACTCCTGTGCCACACAATTCGATCATCATCAAGGGTCAGTTCCTTCCCTGGATGAGCCCATGGTTCCAGTCTTCCAACTTTCACTCTAACAAAAGAGTTGTTTGGGAATGTTATCAAGTTTGTAACATCAAAACCTGCCACTGATTCTCCACTTTCATCAAAACCCACACGGTCTCCAGCACTGTTGTTGAACAAGATTCCACATAGAAAATGATGGAGCTAAGTTGAAAAAGAAAATTATGCATATAGAAACAAGATATTACTTTTGGGGTTAATGAGAAGGAAGATTTTTGGGGTTAATGAGAAAGAAGAACCCTCAGAAGTGGATGAAGTATGATGGGTGGCAAATGCTTAAAACTTTCAAGTGTGCCTGTGATGTTATTATTAATACAACCACTGAGATCTCTGCCACATACACACATGCTCTCTTCTTCTTACATGAAACAAAAAACAAAAGAAAAAGATTCACCACTACAACATGGGATAGATAGTTGATTGTCTTTGGTGTGGCAACATTCCAGTGCATCAGGATGCTACATGCACACTTCAATCTGGTGCAGCATAATTCTGAGATGTGTGTGTGTGTTTGTGTGTGGGCATGTTAAACAGAGATGACCCCATCATGCAAAAGCATTCTGCTGTCATTGTGCCATCCTCACCTTCCATGTCTCCTCATCATGACTTGCCAGATGCCCTCTGTCTCTGAATCTTTTACATTTTAAATTGCATTTTAATGTAGCATGCATTGCGTGTGCTACTGCGTAGACAGCGTTGTAGACATTGTAACTGTGGCCAGTCATCTTCCATTCAAATAATGTACTTGGAAGGGTCTCCAACCTTTCCTCCCCAGTACACAACTTTCTGCTTTCCTCACCTATCTGGGAAGGGTTGAAATGGCAGTGAAATGCCTGCTCCCAGAAATTCTGAAAAAATATGTCTCCTTTTCTCCACTGAGGCTTCATAGTGTGAACAAGTGTGTGGAATCCAGGTGGCTGCTTGGAGTGAACAGCAAAGGTTATGGCACCATGGAAATGCTGGATATCCCACATCTTTTGAATAGGAACTGATTCAAAATCCCATTGGGATGTCGCAATCCACACTTTTTCCAAGGGTGGCCATGCCACAATTGATGCTGTCAAGAACATCATTCTCAGATTCTGCCAGGAAGGGGGTTCTCCTTGTACAAAACAAGCACTGACTTTTCTTTCCAGGAGAACTGGATAATTTCCTAGCACTTCTAACAGCCGGCTTGTATACTCATCCAAATATGTCCGCTCTGGAAAGCGAAATATGAAGGCATGGCAGATATCATTCTGGGAAAGCAGAGGGACCATGGTCTGCAAGAACTTGTCCCCATAGTCATCATCCACAGCCAGCAGCCCAATCCATGTCCATCCAAAATGCTGAAGTAAGCGCACAGCCCCCAGATACTGATGGGATTCCCTGGGCACCATCTGGTACAAAAAGGGGAACTGTGTTTTCTCACCATGTGCTGGGGAAAAGGACCCATAAGTGAGCTGAAATTAAATGCATCAAAGTACAGAGATGTATTAGGAGATAATGTCAACTTCTGTTCCATGGAATTTTAGAAAATCGGAAAGAGCCTACCTGTGGGATCTTGTACATGGCAGTGATGATGGCCAAAATTTCAGAGGCTTCAGTGGCAAGTCCTCCAATGACAGCAGCTATTTTTTTCTGAGCACCACACCTGAAATTGGGCACAAATCTGTGGTATGTGCAAAGGAGGCCCATGGAGGCCTTATATGTTATCCTCGCAATGTAGTAGCCATTGATAATGTGGAAACCCAGAGTGAGGTTAGGCAAGATTTTGGGATTCTTGTTGATCTCATCTACAGCAAAGGACAAGGCCAGGATGTGCTGGTACATCTTTGGCATGGAACTGCAATAAGAGTTGTTCAGTTGTTCAATAACTGCAATAATCAGTTATTTCACTTCTTTGTGATTCTACTTAAACATGAATTTCAGGTGTTGTGTGACTCAGAACTAAGCAGAACTTTTGAGTGATTCTTCTGCAAGAGATACTGCAAATTCCATTTTCCATACTTGTTAGTAGTTTTAACCAGTTCACGTGAAATGTTATTTATGTTGTCCTTAGTAAAATGCTTTCCCTACCTACATCAACAAATACCTTCCAATCCCAAAACTGCACAGCCAGTGTGAGGCTTGGCAAGATTTTAGGATTCAAATCTTAGTTATATGCACTTTCCCCATAAATAAGTAATGGATTTGGAGATTTCCACACAATAGATATTTTCCCCTAATATACCCATTTTAAGAGAAGGGAGGTTACACAAATAAAGAGTAGTGAACAAGCCAAAGCATAATGGTGGTTTCATACATTTTTTCCAAATGGCAATAAAGTTTGTTCAAATGATATTCCAATGGGGCTTTTCCAAGCATGACCATTTCATAGAATCATAGAACTGTAGATTTGGAAGGGGCCATGAAGGCCATCAAATCCAATCCCCTGCTGCTGCAGGACACCAATTTACACCATCCCACTCAGATGAGTGTTCATTTTCTTCTTGAATGTCTCCAGTGTGGGAGAGCACCCTACCTCTCTAGGCAGCTGGTTCCATTGTTGTATTGCTCTGACAATGAGGAAGCTTTTTACAAAAAAAGAAAAAATGTTAATGCCTTCCTGAGTCCATTCACTTTCTCACAGTTCTGAAATAGGAACTCTTCCCACCACTGTGTCACTGTACACTTCCCTCTGCCTTTCAGACATGATGCACAAACTTAGCCTGTATCCTTAGCACAACCGAGAATGTTTTCCCTGTATTCTCCACTCTCTCCCAGAACTGCCTCTTCATTCCATGACTGAGTCTGTTGAGTTTATTTTAGTTTGTTGATTTGCCTTGATATTATTGGGAAGCTATTGTTCTTTCAATGATTAGGAGGTTCATCTGACTAAGTTGAATCCAATGCTCTGCCAATAGATAGCCAGGGCAGAATGATTGCTGGTCATTCTTTATCTGCAGCTTCTCCCTCTCTTTTGGGGGAAGTAGGTGGGAAAGGAGCACTTTATAGAGAAAAAAATATTTCAAGGAACTTGATAACTTGATCAAGTGAAAAACTACACAGAATTGCAGCAGAAGATCCAAATACACTTCTAGTTCAGAAGAACTGTGTCAACTGCATGGCAAACAGAGGTAGTGCGGTGATGCTTGTATGATATATAGCTTGTCCATGTCAATGCATTTATACACTTTATCAATGCAACAAGAGAGTTACTTTACTACACAATAATGTGCCCAAGTTTCAGTAAGCCAGATTCCAGATACATCCTAGGAAAAACATCCTGATTGGTAAAGCAGTATGACTGTAGAACAAATGATTTAGGAAACTCATGGGCTCTCCCACAATGGAAGCATTCAAGATAGTGCTGGACAGCTATCTGTCAATGATGCTTTCACTCAGAGTCCTTACAGGCCCCTTGCCATCCTACTGGTCTATTATTCTGTTCATCCAGGAAAGCCAAGTATGGTTGACTCACTTAAGGATACCAAACAATTTAGCTGATCACCAATCTGCAGAAAGAGATTGGACAAAGGCTGACAGTAAATCTTTGTTCAAAGTGTACTGTGAACACATTCCTCCTTTTGGGTGCTCTAGTTTGCACAGGTGATTTTCAAAGTGTATGATCTTCAAGAGCATTATTCCAAGGTCAAACACTATTTCAGGCTGCATGAACAGAAGCATCAGTTCCAAAACATGTGAAGCACTAGTTCCACTCAACTCAGCACTTGTCAGACCTCAGCTGGAGTAATGTGTCCAGTTCTGGGCACCTAAGTTTTAAAAGATGCAGAAAATCTAGAAAGGGTAGAACGGAGAACAAAAAGGATGATTCAGAGATGGGAGGCAGAGCCAATGAGGATTAAGAGAAATGGGCATGTTTAGCCTTAGGAAGAGAAGATGGAGGTTTGATCAAGAAGATTTGATATCAAGAAGATCTGATAGTGCTATGCAAGTACCTCAACAGCTGTTACAGAGAGGAGGGACGAGATCTCTACTCATTCATTCCAGAGTGCAGGACATGGAACCATAGAAAAAAGACCATTTGGACAGTCAGCTGAGTGGGATGGTGTAATGCAGTGTCCTGCAGGAGCAGGGAGTTGGACCCCATGGCCTTCAGTCCCTTTCCAACTCTACTATTCTATGATTCTAATAGTTACTATGGCAGGACAAGTCAAATAATTCACAACCCCAAGGTGTTCTACATTCACATTCTGGAAATAAGTAATGTTTCATATACAGTCTTTTCCCTGTTACTGTGAATTAAAGAATTTGGAGGATGCAAAAGAAAAAAAGGAGGGAGGGAGGGAGGAAAACTTACGCAGCTTCATTGATCAGCATCTGTGTGGGTTGCTGCACAAAAGAGGGGCTGTTGTGAAAGAAGAAAACCTGAGAGACAATTGCACCGATGACAAACATGCCTGGCTGATAAAATTGGTGGGGTGTAGGAAAGGGATCTGTGGGTATAGCACAGCTAATAGAATGAGTCTCACATTCTGTATGTAAATGCAAAACAAGCATCAGAACTCCTAGAACTGCCATCTTCATGCCAACTTTCTCATCAGGATTTAGATTCCTGTGTTCTCCAAATAGCATGCATTTTTTTAAAAATCCTTTCATGAGTGAGTTGTGATGGTGTACACACAGAGAAGGAAAACTGCCATGTTTGCTTTGCTGAAACTTCATTGCCACTTTCTGTTTCTGTATCCTTTGTAAAGATCACACTTCCTACATGTTTGCCCAAACCAATTGCAGGAATCATTTGTATCTTTGAAAGGACAGGAGCTGCCTATCTGCAGATGAAATATGTTTTTATGGCACTGTAATGACACCCTAATGAGTTCAGTAGTGTGGCACTTGGAAATGTAAACATTCTTAGATGGAAAACCATATGCAAGGATTATGAAAACCACTAATCTGGATGTTGACAGGGAAGCTAATTACATTCCCCAGAGGATCAGTGTTTCCCATGGCACAACACAAAGGAAAGCACTTGAAATAGAAATGATGGCCATCTTTTTTGTTTTGAGTTGCAACACATGAGGAGAAGTTATACATTTTGGTACCAGGCAAACCCTTTTTATTTTCCATTTATTTTAATTGTTGACTAGAGAGGTGCTTTTAAAGTGGTTTTTAGTACCATGATCGGTGGCAGTGGTTCACCAAGTTTTAATCTGTTTTGTGTTATGGTTGTTTGGCCTGCTTTGCTTGTGTTCTTGTATTTTGGTTACTGTTCTGTTGTTTCAATGCCTACCTTTTGTAAACCAACCCAAGAACAATGTGCTGATGGAACGGTACATCAATTTATAAGATACCTAAAGGACTTCTGGTTGATGTCATGCCAAGACAGCACAGGAGAACAGAGATTCCGTACTTCATGCCAAAATCCATTCTACAGAGGGCCCTGGGAGGCCCATCCAAGCCCTGTCGGGGCAGGGATTAGAAGACCGAGTATACATCTGCCTGGTGCAGGGGGAAGCAGTCCCCCACCCACTGGGAGAAATTCAGGGAAATTCTCAGTGAACAGAGAAAGGGGGGTGCACCCACCCCCCCATAAGCTACTGGCACCAGATTAGTGGCAAAGAAGAAAAAAGAAGAAGTTTAAAAGTGGACATCAGACCTGCTGAGTGAGCATTCAAACCTTTCAAAATACTGCCCATGAAAGAACTTGTGAAATAACTATCAATCTGAATAACAAAAGAAAGGCCCTCTTGACATAGGGAGGAAACTTCTCCCTGTGGAGTTCAAGCATTGACAAATCTAGGCCAGATTAAGTGAAACTGGGGAAATTTGAGACTTGAAAGAGAAGAGGGGTTTATATATATATATGTTTAATCTCCCCAAGGATGAAGAATTAAATTTGAACTTATTGTATATTAATTGGTAGAAAAAGTTCTCTTTCTGTTTTGTTTCTGTATGTCTCTTTTGGAGATGACAGGGCGATTTGATCTTTCCAGTTCCTGCACTAACAAATAATCTTTTGCTGCCACCCTGTGGTTTTTTTATCCTTTAACAGATACATCATTTGCCCCCTCCAAAAAAATCTTTTTTTCCACTCTTTGTGATTTTTTTGCTGAAGTAGATCTTTCTGTCTTTGCTATATTTTAAAAAAATGCTTCAATTAAACCTTTCACTTTCTTCATGAAAAAAATTCACCCATCATCTTTGGCACCTACGTCTGCTTCCCAAAGCCCAACACATTAATTAAAAACTGTGGATTTGGGAAAATTTCAAAAAGATATACAAATGACACTTTTGGAAATACAAGCATCTCTAACATCTATGCAAGCATCTCAAGAGTCTATGCAAAATGCTATACAAGAATTTGCTTTGGAACAAAAGGAAAGGCTGGATAAATTGGATAGTCATGTCTTGAAGATAATGAATCAACATGCAGATTCCTGTATTAAAATAAAACAAAATGAACAAAAAATACAAAAGGTTGATGATACTGATAAGAAAATTGAAAAGGTGGATAAAGAGATGCAACAACTAACACAAACAAATAAGTTATTCTGGGATTCAGTTGCTATATTGGAGAGATTTCAGAATACACCAGAAGCAAAAAATGAAAACCTATGTGGTTTAATAAACATTATGTTAGCAGATGCTCCTGCTTTGGAAAAGGAAGAGACCAATAAACAGCTTGACCTGGTTTATAGAGTCAACTTAAGATATTTTAGAAGTCATAAATTTCTGAGGAAGAATGGATATTTCTAGGGCATGATTTACAAACGGGATGGCATGCTTATATGTGGTAAGAGTGTTGACATTTCTTGGTGACACAAAGTTCAAATACAATCAAGATATGTGAAGATTATAGAATATATGATCTTATAAAGGAATTAGCAACATTTGATTAAA